TAAAAGAAAAAGCTGGCCGACTTTTGTGTTCACCGCAAGTTCATTTTGTTTTCTTTCTATCGGGCCCAGTTATGTATAAATTCAGCTTTGAATGTACTTATGCATAACAGTATCTGATAAAAATGTTACCATGAGTTACCATTGTTTTCTTCTTGTCTATGAATTGCTCACAAATTCTTAGGGGTGCATTCACTGAAAAATGTGCGATACACTTCATAGACTATAAATTATAAACGTTACAACAACTTAAAACTTTTTTTTAAAAAGGCTAATTTGGGCTCGAAAAGCTACGAGTCTGTCGGTAGAAGAAATTTGAAATTTTGTATGCCTTTTGTTTGTCTTGTCCCAGTGCAGCTTTTCCTCTCCAGCCTGGCGGTTTTGTACCACGTGAATGGCTAGCTGCAAAGGGCCTATTTAGTGTTCTAATGAATTTTGAAAAGTTTAACTTACTTTGCACGAGCCATATCTTGTCTGCGTGACAGTAGGCTTTATGCATTATGCCTCATTTGTTCGAGGTATCAAAACTTTTGAGATATCGGCATATAGCCTGGTTTTTAGTGAAGCAAAAGCATTAAGCATTTTATTCCAGCATTTTAGTGGAGTCAGTACCTCTGAAAATCATAAATAATTTTTTTTAAAGAAAATGAAAATTTAAAACATTTTTAAGAGAAAACTAACACTTGCAGTTGAAATTCCGAAAACAAATTCAAATGACGCCTTCAAATACAGTTGTTTAGAGGATTACATTTTGAGGTATTTTAAAAAGATGGTGGATCGTGAATCAGGTCTATAAAGTATGGAGAATTCTTGCTATTCACATGACGGCAACGAAGGAGAAGGGTGAAAGACAACGATGTGTCTAATTAGCAAAAAAGCAACTTTGCACGTACAGCAAAATTTTTTTGTACATTTTGTTGCCGTTGTTTTGCACGACTACTACAAAAAAATGTCTCCTTTGTTGTTTATCTCTCTCTCTAGATCTCTGTCGCCCTTTTTCTCGTTGAGCTTTGCTGGCCAGCTGCCTACTTTCTCTTATTCTCTCTTTCTCTTGCTCTATTTTCCAAATTTGTGGACATGACAGTTAATCTAAGCTTAATAGTTCAGACAACACGGATACACGGAAAGAATTCCCGCTTTCCGTTTTCGACTTTAAGATCCAACGACGCGGACGTGCAACGAGAACGTCAAAAAAAAAAAAGGTTTAATAAGCAAAACAACAACTTCGCACGTGCATCACACATTTTTGTACATTTCTTTGCCGTTTTTGCACGACTACGACGTGAAAATACCTAATTTCGTGTTTCATGGAGAACGTAAACAGAAGATGATAAAATTTCTTCTGAAATAAGGTCAGGATTTAGAGAACTGGAGCGGCACCCTCCCGCCCACCAAGAATTTCCAGGAGTACCCCCTGGGAAAGAGTGGGCCCGGAGAATTTAGGCTCACTTCTGCAGAATTTCGTTGTTTTCCTTATACAATACAAAATTTGTGGAGAAGATATCACGTTATACGGCTAACTAAAAGGAAAAGATTAAAAAAAAATTTTAAAAAAGCACCTGATATCTATCTTTCCAATACGTTTCCAAGTTTTGCTGTCAGTTTTCGACACCGAGTTGGCTGTTTCACTTTCTTTGAATAATCAAACGTGTCATATGTGTAGCTTTGAACACGCAAACCTCAATCGAAAAGGCTAATAATGCAAAAGGACCAGCTGAACGTCTTCACTGAAAAATGAGGGATGTCATTTTTACCCGTAAACACCTCTTTATCTATTAAGCTTTCCCTGCTAGCAGAGGTCTCTCACGACGAGGCAAAAAGCACTGGCCATGCATGAGCCTTTTTCACTTAGTTAAAAACGGACAACAACTCAGTGTTAGCTTATCCATAGCTTTTTTTGTTTTTGTTATTTTTGTAAAATCTCATGAGTAGGTAAGTATAAATAAATTATATGTTACGTTGAATCTTTATTTAGAAACTGAGGCGGCGAGGACGAGTGATCGTTGAACCTCATCACAATCAGTTTCATTTCCATAGAAAAATTTAAAACCTGCCATAAATGTAAATTTAGTCTTTCGTACGTAATTTAGTGTGCTAATGAATTTTGAAAAGTTTCACTTACTTTGTATCTTGTCTGCGTGACAGTAGGCTTTATGCATGAAAATACTCTCATTTGTTCGAGCCTGGTTTTTAGTGAGGCAAAAGCATTAAGTATTTTATTCCAGGGCCGGGTTGTTCAAAGCTGGGTTAAGATAACCCAGGGTTAGTGCAAAATTTCAATTCAAATATGAAAGCTTATAAAGTAAGTTCAGTTTAATTCTTTTTGTCAACAAGTTGATGATTCGATGCTCTATAAATATCATAGAAAATTGTCCGAGAAAGTGCTTTTGAACAAAAGAAAAGAAACCCGGGTTAAATTTAACCCTGGGTTAAGCGCTATTAGGCCTTCGAACAACTTGGCCCAGCATTTTAGTGGAGTCAGTACCTCTGAAAATTATAAATTATTTTTTTTAAAGAAAATGAAAATTTAAAACATTTTTAAGAGAAAACTAACACTTACAGTTGAAATTCCGAAAACAAATTCAAATGACGCCCTCAAATACAGTTGTTTAGAGGATTATATTTTGAGGTATTTTTAAAAGAAGGTGGATCGCGAACCGGGTATATAAAGTTAGGAGAATTCTTGCTATTCAAATGACGGCAACGAAGGAGAACGGTGAAAGACAACAATGTGTCTAATTAGCAAAAAAGCAACTTTGCTCGTGCAGCACTCTTTTTTTGTACATTTTTTTTACCGTTGTTTTGCACGACTACAACGTGAAACCTCCAGAAACTTCTTAGTGACACGTTTTATGGAGGAAATGTCATACGCGTTCTCGTTCACTTTTTTTTCACTGCCGCTCAATTTCACCCAGTGCATTGGTGGCCGCTAGCATCTCTTATTTTCTCACCGCCGCCACAAATTGTAATGTTGTTCTTCCAACAAAAAAATGTCTCCTTTGTTGTTTATCTCTCTCTCTAGATCTCTGTCGCCCTTTTTCTCGTTGAGCTTTGCTGGCCAGCTGCCTACTTTCTCTTATTCTCTCTTTCTCTAGCTCTATTTTCCAAATTTGTGGTCATGACAGTTAATCTAAGCTTAATAGTTCAGACAACACGGATACACGGAAACAATTCCCGCTTTCCGTTTTCGACTTTAAGATCCAACGACGCGGACGTGCAACGAGAACGTAAAAAAAAAAGGTTTAATAAGCAAAACAACAACTTCGCACGTGCATCACACATTTTTGTACATTTCTTTGCCGTTTTTGCACGACTACGACGTGAAAATACCTAATTTCGTGTTTCATGGAGAACGTAAACAAGCGACGGCGGAATTAGATTTCTCTTTCTGAGCTTGGATATGGTCCCTTGAAATTCAGCTTCGGGAGGGTTTGCCTACATTTGTCAAAGTAAGTGCGTGCGAATAATCGCTATGAAGACCAAAAGAACCCAAATTCACTTTTTTAAGCGACGTTCTCGTTGCCGTGGCGTCGTCGGATCATTAAGTCCCCATTGACTCATTAGTTGTTTCTGCTTTACAAGACGCGGGTGGCTATGCAATTTCCCTCCAAAATAACCTCGAGTTGCTTTTGGGTTGCCATACTTGTTGATTGAGTTATTTTACATTGGTATGCCTGTGGTGCTGACGGACGGGTTGCGTGATGAGCCTACAAACGACTGCGAAGGAGACTAATTTATTTCCGGCTATACGATTTATTTGTCTTAGACGAATAATTCGTCAGGCACGTTCAAAATCCCCTTGACAGGGACCCGTGTTTTTCCCCGCCACTTCTTTGTAAAGGAAACAAAACCGTTCCCTAGGTAACCCCGCAAATGTGGGTTGTATGGGTTGATTTTTCCTCTGTCCCTCCCCGTCGAGGGAATTTTGAACGTGCAGCGAGGCTACTAAGCCAAGAGCAACGGCTGTCGCTAGTACACTGCGAAGATCAGCGGTTCCACGGAAGTGCTAAGTTCAAATTTTTCTCGCTACATTTCTCGTCCTCTTTGAGGCTACGACTCGATGTTGGAACTAAAAGAAGAAAGGAAAATCTTCGGTGTATCCTCAAGCGAAGTTTTGGAGCGATTAGAGTGGAATGAAGGTAATTTCAGTATTTTTTTTAGAGCTATTTCTTCGGGCGGCGTTAGACAGCCGAGTTTTAATTTCCCTTGATTTCTTTTTATAGCATGCGAGAAACCAAAACATCAAAACGTGCTAAAATGACGTTTATAGGGCAAAAAACTGTAAGAAAACAACACAGAGACAACTCTTTATAAGGTATGTGCACTTTAATGCGTGTTTATGTACATTTTAACCGTTTTATCGATCTTCGATAAATTCCCATTCAAATCCTTGAAATTTGACTTTTAGAAGGTTGTTGTCAGTCTGGGCTTCCTGTGCTTAGACGGATTTTTCGTCTCTAGTATAAATTCGAGCAATCTATTTTTATCAATTTAAGACATCCACATCCCTTGGAATTTACAACAACTTTTTATTTATTGTACATTAGATGCTGTTTCATAGTTTCCAGTCCAGTAATTAACTGGCAGGATATTTTTTCGCTTTTCAGGAAATGTAAGTTGTATTGTAACGAAGTACTGCTCATTAATTATATTGATTTTGATCTCAAAACTTGCGTCATCATTATTTGACAATTCACTGAGTCAAGTGATCTCTTGACTGAGTAAAACAGCATAATGTGATTATTAATAGTACAGTGTGATGCAAACCGATGGAAAGGTATACATGAGCACAACTTTCCAGTTCTTGCGTCATTAAATGGCTCTTTTACCGCTCCTAACAAGCAAATACATCGTTAATACTTGAGAATTCATAATGTTTGTGCTACCGCATAAACTAGGAAATACAGCAAAGCTTAAAATTTTGTGGCCGAGCCGTACAGTACAATCTGATGTCACGTGCTACCAAGACAAAGAAAATATATTATCATAATACTAGTTGTAGCTATCGCAAAGTGCCAACGAGCAAAGATTTTACCTATACGCGCGTGCTGTTCAATTTGTTTAGAAATGTGTAATTTTGAATTTTTTGTTTTTAAGCCTAAAAACGCTTAAAAATTCCAGCAGGCAAATGCGACAGCTATACGCGTATGTTTCAGTTGAATCCACCCGACGATTGGTTGAAGACGGGATGAGCACGGGACTCACAAACACGCACACCGGGCTCGTGGATTCTCTGTTTTGTTTCACATGTTTGCTCGAAAACAATACATTCTCTGTTCTGCGCTACCTCATAAAAGTTATCTTACACTACCTTATGTTATATCGCTTCGAGAAATATTCTGCCTTGGAACTTTTGCGCACAGCTTCATAGCCTGCCTCCTCGCAGCCGCGCGTCTTCGCGAGGCTTCTCTTTGGCAAAAGCCCGGCGGGAAAAGTCACGACAATTAAAAAATCGATAACAATTTTCCACGGTCTGTACTCTTATCGACCTAAGAAACGACGTCAAAATGTTCAAAACTCAAGTGCACTTTATATTCTTCTTAACGACTTGTAAAATTTTTCAAATAATCAGCTGTTTATATCCATACAAACAAAAATAGTTTAGGAAGTGATGACTATGGGTCTATGTCACGAAACGGCCGGTATCATAACGAACCCAAAGAAAACATGAATTATATCTGCCATGGCCGTTTTGCATGAACAAAGATGTCATTCAGATTTATTGAGTTATATCATTACTTCAGGGCCTTACATCGTATGTCTAGAAGTGTATTTACGAACTGGGAATGTATCATAAAAAGAAACTCAAGAAAGAGTTAGAAGAGCGAATTTAAAGGAATGTTGTGGTATCTTTTTGGTCAAGGTATACAAGCCCTCGGAGGGTTCGAGATTTTGAGTGTTCTCGATGTATTTTTCTCCTATCGTATTATTTAGAGTTCTTCTTATATTGTTCCCGATCAAGTTCACTGGAGCTACAAATTTTATTGTAATGAGGTAATGTTCTCTAACCCAGTAACAGATATTCATTGATTTTGTCAACTTACGTCATAATTATTGGTCAGACATGTTATAGTGCGTTACAACTGTTTTAAAGCTTTTTCCTTTTTCATTTTGAAAATGCTCGAGCGAACTATCTTGACGCCGTTTAAGCAATTTACAGAGGAAAACTGCAGATAATTATTTCGAAATGGAAGAGAAAGACTACGAAGAATTTCAAAAAGTTGTATGCACCGCGTCCCTTTACGGAAACTCCTATCTGTATTCAGTAGCAGCTTTGAATATTCTTCTATCAGTTACCGCTTCGATGGGGAACACTCTAATTCTTGTTGCTCTTCGCAAGGAAAATTCTCTTCATGCTCCATCAAAACTCTTGTTTCAATGCCTATCAGCCACGGATCTTTTGGTTGGTATCCTGTCGCAACCTCTGTTTGTTATTCAGTTGATTTCCATTGCACATCAGCGAGTGTCACTTTGTTTCATCCTTGTCAGTNAATAGTTTAGGAAGTGATGACTATGGGTCTATGTCACGAAACGGCCGGTATCATAACGAACCCAAAGAAAACATGAATTATATCTGCCATGGCCGTTTTGCATGAACAAAGATGTCATTCAGATTTATTGAGTTATATCATTACTTCAGGGCCTTACATCGTATGTCTAGAAGTGTATTTACGAACTGGGAATGTATCATAAAAAGAAACTCAAGAAAGAGTTAGAAGAGCGAATTTAAAGGAATGTTGTGGTATCTTTTTGGTCAAGGTATACAAGCCCTCGGAGGGTTCGAGATTTTGAGTGTCCTCGATGTATTTTTCTCCTATCGTATTATTTAGAGTTCTTCTTATATTGTTCCCGATCAAGTTCACTGGAGCTACAAATTTTATTGTAATGAGGTAATGTTCTCTAACCCAGTAACAGATATTCATTGATTTTGTCAACTTACGTCATAATTATTGGTCAGACATGTTATAGTGCGTTACAACTGTTTTAAAGCTTTTTCCTTTTTCATTTTGAAAATGCTCGAGCGAACTATCTTGACGCCGTTTAAGCAATTTACAGAGGAAAACTGCAGATAATTATTTCGAAATGGAAGAGAAAGACTACGAAGAATTTCAAAAAGTTGTATGCACCGCGTCCCTTTACGGAAACTCCTATCTGTATTCAGTAGCAGCTTTGAATATTCTTCTATCAGTTACCGCTTCGATGGGGAACACTCTAATTCTTGTTGCTCTTCGCAAGGAAAATTCTCTTCATGCTCCATCAAAACTCTTGTTTCAATGCCTATCAGCCACGGATCTTTTGGTTGGTATCCTGTCGCAACCTCTGTTTGTTATTCAGTTGATTTCCATTGCACATCAGCGAGTGTCACTTTGTTTCATCCTTGTCAGTCTAAATGAAGTTGCTGGTTCAACCCTGATCGGAGTGTCTCTATTTACGATGACTACAATCAGTGTGAACAGACTTCTTGCTCTGTTACTAGGGCTGAGACACAGCAAAACAGTGTCGTTGAAACGAATTCGTGGAGTAATCATCGGCGGCTGGATTCTAAACATTTCCATCTTTACCTTGCAGCGATTTTTGGAACAACACTATACGCTAATCTCTCAACTCGTCACTGGGATAATTTACTCATTGCTAGTAATCTCGGGAATTTCATACTCCACGATTTATCTAACACTTCGCCGTCATCAAAATGAGATGCAAAGCCAAGCAAACAGAGAAGGAACTACATTCAACATAACGCGATACAGAAAAACAGTATCCTCGGCTTTGTGGGTACAGCTGACATTAATAGCCTGTTATCTTCCTTACGGTGTTGTTAGTACATTAAGTCACCCATTCGCTCCATCTCATAACCTTTCTGTTAGGCTTACAATAACCCTTATCTACTTAAACTCATCTTTAAACCCTGCTCTCTACTGTTGGAAGATCAGAGGAGTTAGGACAGCGGTCAAGGATACAGTCAGACATCTGTATCATGTGGTTTGTCCAGCTAAACCTGTAGCTCCTGCGCGCTAAGCATTTTTGGTGCGATTCGTCTGGCAACTCATGTTTTTTGGGCGCGAAATCGTTGTTGAGGTGTTGTAAAAACTGTCCGTTTCAGCGATTTTGTGTCTAAACGTTTTGAAAAATAAACTCATCAAAAAACCTGTTATATTAAACGTCTGTTAAATACTGTGCTTGATATCCTTCACTGAGTTTCCAAGTCGTTAAGTTTGAGGGATTGTTCTTTTGTTTACACCCTGCCGGGATCAGCAAGTTAACTGTTTTTGGAAAGTCCACCTTGGTGGAAAAGTACGGGAAGTTTTGTTCCGACTCAGTAACTTTCAGCTTGTAGAGCTGGATGGCCAGCAAATCGGGAGGTCTCGAGTTGTTTTCGCGGGTCGGGACCAACGCTTTGCTCGGGGTTTGAAAGTAATTAAGGAAGAAAGTACACCCTTCACAGCTCTACAAAGGGCTAGCCCCTCATGGAACTCGGTAGTTCAAGTAGAAATTGCAGTCTCTAGTTACTGCGTTCTAAGCACGTTGGCATTTCCTGATAAAGTAGAGATTTTTGGAGTTCGAATTTTTGATCCAAAACTAGTCTCTTCTCCCATTTCTGTTTATTGGCATAGAGGAGAGGCTTGCGGGTAACAGTGCATATAATAACAGATCTAAAGTAAATTGAAACAAAATTTAACAAAAATTCCAAATAGTTACAAGTGAACAAAAGCAAATTATTATATATAAGTAAAACCACTGACTTTAAAGATAATGGCCAACTTCCTAGTTATTATTCTTTTTATGAAGCATAATAAAAATGTGATAAAAAGGATGCCAGTTAAAGTTTACGTAGTTTTCTTAGTACCTGAAATAATGTATAGTCAACTCACGTTATCCCGATCCCGCACAGCCAACTCCCCTTATATCTTGCCGAGTCCCTCGGGACCGCGAGTCAGTGCCCCCAGTAGCGAGAGTCCCGACCAGCTCCCACTTGGCTTTGTAAGTCAACTGGTAGAGCGCTGCACCGGTATCGTAGAGGCACGGGTTCCAGTCCTGTACTAGCCTGATTTTTTTTAAACTTTCTTATCAAACCTTCACTGAAAAGTTGCTTCTATAACTTAACTTTAATAATCTTCTTAGCGTAGGTGAACACAACGGAAAAATTTTCTTTTTCTTTTACTAACCATTGATCTGGGCCTTTCGGATAGAACCCCAGAAAATTTCGCCCAACACTTGACAAATTAAATGAAATTGAATAAGAACGATGAAGTTTGAAACAGTTGAAAGTGATGTTTTCGACTTTTTTGCCATCCAGAAATTTTGCTACCAAGGCAACATTTTTCCTAGTAGCTTTTGTCACTGACAAAAAAAAGGCTATCAATCTCTTTATCTGGACAGATTGGACGAGCCAAGAAAAAAAAAAAGTTCTTTTACGATTTGTTTCAATTGTTGCTCAAGAAGAGAATCGATAACAATTTTGAAGAAACAATATTTTTCTGTCTTTATATTCAAAGATGCCGCTTGCTGTAGGTTATAACCAAACGCGCAAAAGTTTTTTTGTTTGTTTATTAAATTTTGTTTGACAAGTAACAACTTGAAGCTGGCACAACCGACAGTAGACTTGATAATTTAAAAAACGAACCTTGCCGCAGGTAAAAAGTTATTCCTTATCACCCGGTTTTGTCATTTTGCTGGCGATTTCTTAAATACATATTTTGGCGTTTTTGTGAATGAAGAGAAGAAGTGTTTTAAAAAGAAGTAAATAAGGAGTCGCTCTTTTTCTAATTAATACAGCTTTTGATTAATTACAAAATTGGACATGTCTAATATATACATCCGGCGTACAAAATTTACCACAGCGACGAAGTTTTCGGTGTACTATATTTATACAAGACAGATATTTCTCACTGAGTTAATTAACTTTTCGCATCTTTTAGGCCGAACCAATAGTCAACAGGGAAATTTAACGTCATGAAGCGTAGCATTTTACCAAAAAAAATTAATCAGTTTTTATTTAATTTTCATTGAGAAATATAGAACTCCATTCAAAGCAAACGTCAACAAGTTTGTTAGCTGGAAGCTGATTGGCAAAAAGTTCAAGATAACGTGGCTTTATTGTATTGTTTTATCTCCCTCCTTTCCATCAATCTCTTAGTTGTAATACAAATCAATTGAAAACTAGATGGAGGATTCAACTTGTAATCCATTTAGTTCATTGACTTGAAATACTCAACAAATATTCGCCAAGCTTCAATCTCAGAGTATATATAGGTCAGTAGAATGTTGGTCAACCCACAATTCAAGAACAGCTGGTTATCACCTGTGTGCTTCTAATAATTTCAACGCATGACTATAACGCCAAAAAATTGTAAAAAAAAAAGAGAAAAGAAAGGAGATTTCGAAGCCAAATTTCTGACTTGCAAATAGAAAATAACTTCTTTTAAAGTCTCTCAGTAGTGATGGATTTTTCTGCAAAGGGTTCGGACTACAAAGAAATTCAACTTGTGTCTTGCTGGAAGTCTCAACATGGAAATTATTATCTATATCTTCTAGCAGCGTTGAATATTCTTCTATCCATCATCGCATTGCTTGGGAATATCCTCATTTTACTTGCTCTTCAGGAGGTGCGTTCGCTTCATCCGCCGACAAAACACTTGTTCCGATGCCTAACATTGACAGACCTTCTTGTTGGCGTTTTTTCACAGCCCCTTTTCGCTAGTCAGCTTATTTTCATTGCGCATCAGCGGCAACGCTTCTGCTTTATGGCTGTGGACTCTAATGAAGTCGCAGGTGTCACTTTTAGCGCCGTTTCTTTATTTACATTGACTACCATCAGCGTAGACAGACTTCTTGCTTTGAGGCTGCGTTTAAGCTACAGACGCAAGGTGACTTTGAGACGAATGCGTGGAACTGTGATCTGCTCCTGGATTTTAAGCATTTCACTCTCTAGTTTACGGCGATTTTGGCAACATGCTCTTATGTCAAATGTGATGTCCATAGTTATACACTTTTTGTTACTAACATCGGCCTTTTGCTATTGTAAGATCTATCTGAAACTCCGTCGCTTTAGAATAGGCTTAGCAAATCGCTCGTTTCAGGAACAACGGCGCAGCGTAAGAGCTTTACAAAGCATGGCAAGATACAAAAAGACAGTATCTACAGCACTGTGGGTGCAGTTAGCATTAGTAGCCTGTTATCTCCCGTATGGTATCGTTGCAGCCGTAGAACTCATTACAGGATATTCACCATCACATAACCTGACTGTTAGAGTTGCAGTTACCATGGCTTTGTTAAACTCATCTTTAAATCCCTTTCTTTATAGCTGGAAGATCAGAGGAATGAGAAAAGCACTGAAGGACACAATAAAACATTTGATTTGTTTTGAATAAATTAAAGAGCGGCATTCGTGAAATAGGACAAAAAAAGGAAGGGCCAGGGTACGAATTATATAGAGCAGAAACCAGTTTAATCATACTTTCACGCCCAAAATTCCTGAGCTAGCCTGCGTAGCAGGCGTCGAAAGGGGTAGGGGGTAGGGGATAGGGAGGAAAGGAAAAAGGGGAGGGGGATTCCTGAGCTAAAAGACAGTACAACTTGCTAAGCAGGGGCGTTAGCTACCCTTGCGCAAATATGTACGTGCGCAATTGAAAAAGACGTCGAAGTTAATCAAAACAAAACAAATTTGACCGAAAAGCATTTTTTTAGTTGTTGGTCCAAGTTTTCCTGGATTTAAACAGATAATATTGTAATCAAGTTTAAGAAGGCAACCAAACAAAATAGGTTCTAGATGTAAGATATCATTTCATCGCTTATCAGTTCTCACTAACAATTGTTGTGAATCGGATGATTTTTAAAAGTCAATAAATCGCGTCTGAGATAGCTAGCTAACAGGTGTATTTGTCCAAGGAACTGGGCAGTTATGCTTTAGGTCCAAACCAGAAAAGAGGTGTTAGACAGTCAAATACTTCCTTAGAAAATCTTTTCTTTCGACTTACACTGATAAAATAAAAGACGTAGCAACTTAAACCGTCGAGCAAAATGTGCGAGCACGCATGAAAATCCCCAAACTACTAAAAGAGGCGAGAGGTAAAGAAGGAGGAACGTATTCCCGCTCATCCTCGGAGACCCAGGGGCAGATAGTGGGGGCGAGGGAAAGTCTAAACGGGCGGAAAAATATGGCACGAAGAAAAGTAAAGAACGAGGAGAAGAGCCCCTGGGGACAATGTCTTACCAGACCAGTTCCAAACGGTCGCCGCTTTTCTGGCTTCTGATTGGTGGCAGAAAACTTGTGTTTTTCTGGCACCAATCAGAAGCCAGAACGGCGGCGACCGTTTGGAACTGGTCTGGTAAGACATTGTCTCCAGGGGCTCTTCTCGCCGTTCTTTACTTTTCTTCGTGCCATATTTTTCCGCCCGTTTAGACTTTCCCTCGCCCCCACTATCTGCCCCTGGGTCTCCGAGGATGATTCCCGCTCCTCTCGTGTGGTGTGTCTCTTTGGTTTGATGGGCGCGCATGCACTCTTCGTTCGCTCTATTACACTGGCATGTGGAAAGTATCGCATTATAATTACTTATGGTCGATTTGCTTTCCAATATTCATAGCCAACTCAAAATGAAATGGCAAGCCAAACCACGCCAAAACGAAACAATATTTCGCTATAACTTCTAAGTCAGTAGGGTTTAATAAATAGGATAGGTGGCCTTTCTGTCTTCCATCTCTATCATTATCAGAACCAAACGAAGACCAGCAGAATTTGTTTTGTCAGGTCGAAAACATGAGGCAGGATTATTAAAAACCGACAGTTTTAGGCTTCACTTTGTTAAACTCATCTTTAAATCCCTTTCTTTATAGCTGGAAGATCAGAGGAATGAGAAAAGCACTGAAGGACACAATAAAACATTTGATTTGTTTTGAATAAATTAAAGCGCGGCATTCGTGAAACAGGACAAAAAAAGGAAGGGCCAGGGTGCGAATTATATAGAGCAGAAACCAGTTTAATCATACTTTCACGCCCAAACCTCCTGAGCCAAAAACAGTACAACTTGCTAAGCAGGGGCGTTAGCTACCCTTGCGCAAATATGTACGTGCGCAATTGAAAAAGACGTCGAAGTTAATCAAAACAAAACAAATTTGACCGAAAAACATTTTTTTAGTTGTTGGTCTAAGTTTTCCTGGATTTAAACAGATAATATTGTAATCAAGTTTAAGAAGGCAACCAAACAAAATAGGTTCTAGATATACGATATCATTTCATCGCTTATCAGTTCTCACTAACAATTGTTGTGAATCGGCTGATTTTTAAAAGTCAATAAATCGCGTCTGAGATAGCTAACTAACAGGCGTCAAGTTTGTCCAAGGAACTGGGCAGTTATGCTTTAGGTCCTAACCATAAAAGAGGTGTTAGACAGTCAAATACTTCCTTAGAAAATGTGTTCTTTCGACTTACACTGATAAAATAAAAGACATAGCAACTTAAACCGTCGACCAAAATGTGCGAGCGCGCATGAAAATCCCCAAACTACTAAAAGAGGTGAGAGGTAAAGAAGGAGGAACGTATTCCCGCTCATCCTCGGAGACCCAGGGGCAGATAGTGGGGGCGAGGGAAAGTCTAAACGGGCGGAAAAATATGGCACGAAGAAAAGTAAAGAACGACGAGAAGAGCCCCTAGGGACAATGTCTTACCAGACCAGTTCCAAACGGTCGCCGCCGTTCTGCCTTCTGATTGGTGGCAGAAAACTTGTGTTTTTCTGGCACCAGTCAGAAGCCAGAACGGCGGCGACCGTTTGGAACTGGTCTGGTAAGACATTGTCCCCAGGGGCTCTTCTCGCCGTTCTTTACTTTTTTTCGTGCCATATTTTTCCGCCCGTTTAGACTTTCCCTCGCCCCCACTATCTGCCCCTGGGTCTCCGAGGATGATTCCCGCTCCTCTCGTGTGGTGTGTCTCTTTGGTTTGATGGGCGCGCATGCGCTCTTCGTTCGCTCTATTACACTCGCATGTGGAAAGTATCGCATTACTTATGGTCGATTTGCTTTCCAATATTCATAGCCAACTCAAAATGAAATGGCAAGCCAAACCACGCCAAAACGAAACAATATTTCGCTATAATTTCTAAGTCAATAGGTTTTAACAAATAGGATAGGTGGCCTTTCTGTCTTCCATCTCTATCATTATCAGAACCAAACGAAGACCAGCAGAATTTGTTTTGTCAGGTCGAAAACATGAGGCAGGATTATTAAAAACCGACAGTTTTAGGCTTCGTAATTAGTTAAAAAAGAACGGAAAACACATTGTCTCCCGAAGCCACGTTGACCTCGTAAACAAGATAGGCAGTTGCTGACGAACATTTGTAAATGACGTTTTTGGTACTTTCCCTCGCTGCTGTTGAGAAGAATTTTTGATTTCGAACAGTGTCGTCGTGCTCTATGAAGAAAAATAATATTATAAATTTAAAATAAATAAGGAGTCCCTCCTCTTCGTGACAGAGTCTTTGGTTCAATTACGAAATTTGACATGTCTAATATGTATATGGCGGAAATTTCACAATAAATCAAGTGTCGGCTCTTTAAAAAAGAGCAAGTATTTCTCAGTAATTTTTTCACACATCTCATGGTTAATAGTCAACGGTAAAAGTTTTTCATTTTAACGTAATAAAATTGATTAATTTACATTTAATTGTAATAGAGAATTAGGAGTCCATACAAAGCAACAGAATGTAACCCAGAAGCTGATTGCAGTAAGCTGTTGAAGATAAGACAGTTATCTTTGTGTTCTATCTCCATCCAAATATTGTGCACACTCTTTCTTCATGTTTTTTATCTTTCTCGTACGAACTTGGTAGATCTAGATGTCATGCATCACATAGTTTTTGACATTGTATGGGATTGGGGCTCACGCCCTGTTCTCTTCTCCTGTCAGCGTATTTGTGTTCGTTTAATTCTTTTATCTGACAAAAATCAACAAACTTAAAACTAAACTAATATCGTCAGTCTCATAAAACAAGCCAAATGAAAAATAACTGGAGGATTAACCATCTTATTCATTTCATTTATAAAGCTAATGAACATTCAAAATACTCAACAAATATTAGCCACAGCTGCAATCTACTGTCAGCCCACAAATCAACGTAAAGGCTTATTAATCACCAGCTAATAATTTCAAGGCACGTTCACATTCAAGGCTTTCACTAGTGAAGGAAAACTCGGAAACGCAATCTCTAAGTTTATTTCTGAGTTCGTTAGAAAGGAAAAATAATTTAATTTTATTTCAAGTCATTAATAAGGTGATGGGTTTTACGGCAAAAGGCGGGTACGAAGAAATTCAAGTAGTTTCTTGCTGGATGTCCAAACATGGAAATCACTATCTATATTTACTAGCAGCGTTGAATATTCTTCTATCCATCATCGCATCGCTTGGTAATATCCTCATTTTAGCTGCTCTTTGGAAGGTACATTCACTTCATCCTCCCTCAAAACTCTTGTTCCGATGCCTTACAGTGACAGACCTTCTTGTTGGTGTTTTTTCACAACCTCTGTTTGCTAGTCAGCTTATTTTCATAGCGCATCAGCAGCGACGCCTCTGCTTTACGACTGTGAGCTGGAATGAAGTCGCGGGTGGTACTTTTAGCACGGTTTCTTTATTAACACTGACTGCTATCAGCATCGACAGACTTCTCGCTCCCATGCTAGGACTAAACTACCGGCTCAAGGTGACTTTGAGACGAATGCGTGGAATTGTGTCTTGCCTCTGGATTGTAAGCATTTCACTCTCCAGTTCACGGCGATTTTGGCAACATGAACTTGTGTCGAACGTGATGTCCACAGTTATGTACTTTTTATTACTAACATCGGCGTTTTGCTATTCTAAGATCTACCTAAAACTCCGCAGCCATAAAATTGCCTTAAAGAACCTCTCTAACCAGGCAGAGCAGCACAGCGTAGGACCTGTACTTAACATAGCAAGATACAGAAAAACCGTGTGCACAGCATTTTGGGTGCAGTTAGCATTAATAGCCTGTTATCTTCCGTATGGTATCGTTACAGCCGTAGCACACACCACTGAATATTCACCATCACATAATCTAGCTGTTAGACTTGCAGTTACCATGGCCTTTTTAAACTCAACGTTAAATCCTTTCCTTTATTGTTGGAAGATCAGAGAAATGAGAAAAGCAGTGAAAGGCACAATTAAGCAATTGATTTGTTCAAGTTGATGCCCGGATATTCGCGAAATCGGATGAAGAAACGAAATGATATAAAACAAACTGGTGGCACATCATAAAAGCCACATGAGATAATACTTCCTTTGTAAAATGTAAGTTTTTTAGAGTTACAAATGGAATAAATGTTCGTAAACTGAGTAAAGTATGCGCGAGCGCGGATGAAAATCCCCAACCTAGAAAAAGAGGCTAGAGCTGAAACTTGCTGCCTCTCCTCTCGGGTGCCGTGTTTTCTGTTTTTTTGCCGCGCTTGCGTATTTCGTTCCCACTAACACCTGTATTAACCGGAAAGGACGGAACTACTTCATTGTTGCGCCAACTTGCTGTTCAATATCCATAGTCAACACACATCTAATGAAGGAGGTGAATTTGCATAATGAAATGGGCAGCCGAAAGCCAAAACGAAACAATAGACCTATTACTTGACAATTCCTAAGTCAATATGGTTTTAACCAATGGGTGGCCTTTCTGTCAGTATGAAGTTCTGACGTTACTCCGACGATATTTCTGCTTTCACGTGAACGCTTGTAAAAGACCTCCAGGGTAAATAAGGTTGAAGGACGTGATTTTCAGGCATATCGGTTGACGGGAATAGCCGTTTCGAAAAAAAAACATGAACAACGAAAGCAAGGAAGGATTCCAAGCTGTTCTAGATGGGGCCTGTACGAAGTCTCCCCCCAGAAATGTCTATCTGTATATACTAGCAACCTTAAATTTTTTCCTCGCTATCACCGCATCAGTGGGAAATTTCCTTATCTTCGCTGCTCTTCGAAAGGTATCTTCCATTCGCCCGCACTCAAAACTTCTGTTCCGGTGTTTAACAACTACAGATCTTCTCGCTGATGTTAGCTCGCAGCCACTATTTGCTGTTGTATTAATTTCCGTGGCAAGAAGAGCATTTCAAGTTTGTTATACCATCATGAGTTTTAATGATGTTATTGGCAAGAGTTTAGCAGCAGTTTCTTTGTGGACATTGACTGCGATAAGCGTTGACAGACTTCTCGCTCTGAAGTTGGGTCTAAAATGCAAAAGAGTGGTGACGTTGAGACGAACACAAGGACTACTGATTTTCTTTTGGATTTTTAGCGTGTCTGTTTCCTGTTTATACCGTTTTTTAAATTTGAAGCAACAGTCTATAATATCAAGAGTTTATTCAGCGCAGATCTACTTGTCGTTGGGAATTTCCGCGTTCTCTTACGGCAACATCTATTTTTGCCTTCGCCATCGTCTTCAATCTCAATTACAAGACGATGTTCACGAAGGCCAGCAGACGCCGAATGAAAGAAGAAGTCCCCTTAAGATAGAAAAATACAGAAAGACAGTGTCCACTGCTTTGTGGGTGCAGTTAACTCTAGTGGCATGTTATCCTCCTTATGCTATAGTGGCCGCGATAGAGTATCCGTCTGCTCCCACTCATAATATTTCTCGTCGAATTGGTATGAATCCATTCCTTTATACCTGGAAGATCAGGGACGTAAGACGCGCAGTCAAACTAATACTCAGACAATGGAGCTGCAAAAGTTAAAAGGGGAAATGTGTCAAGAGATTTTTTTTTCCATAAGTTGGTTAAAATTACGAGAGCACTTTTTGTCTCGCAGGGGCGGCGCCTGTAATGCCAAAGAGACGAAGGTGAAGTGAATCAGTGGAAGGAAAAAAAGAAAAAGAATATTCTTTTATTAATAAGCAGTTATCCTGAGATACGTCCATGACACAACTTGAAAAAGCTGGCCTAGCTTTTCTCGCTTTAGTTGCAGTCATTTCCCTTGTCTTCGAGTCATGAATTACGAAATACAACCTTAGATTTAATTCAAAGCACGTATAATGTACTTCTTAACAAATCAGGGACATTTTAGCACTAGGGCGAATGAACATGATTGTGGAGTATCTCCATTTTCTCGTGTTAGCTAGTGCCCCTTTCACGACCATTTACATGAGTTATTATAATTTTTGTTTGCTACGGTTATTTGTAATAGAAAAACTTGACAATTTTTTTCTCTTCAGTTTGTTCTTTTTGCCCATTTCCCCCTAATTTGGTGTCATCTCTAGCTAGTAAATAATTTAATTTTATCTTTTGATCGGCAGGAAGTATTAAAATTCAAGGATCATTTCACGTGGTCGTTTATTGAATACTGAATGTTAAAGATTCATATAATTCATTACCGTGATAACATATCTGTTCATCTCCGCTGAAAGACAACGTGACTGTCAGCTCACTGACACAGATCCACAATTATCTACTTCTCTCAATGTGCTTTAACAATGGCTAACAAATAATAGACAGCTGAAAATTCTTAAAATCTTTTGAAGTAAGCATTCCATACCAGAATAAATAGAAATATTGATCATACAGGGAACGACGAATCAAAACTTTTGAAATATCAAACCCGCCATGCGGCGTGATTAAAGGGTCACAGTCCTGATGTCCATGCGCCTTAGCTACCGTTTCTCAGCTGATTTACTAGTATCACAAGATATGCAATTCATACTGTTTTTAACCAAGTATAATAAAATAATATTATAAGATGAGTGAAAAAATACTCGGAAACTACTGTACCTTAATCTTTGAGGCAAGAATGATTTCGGATTTCAAGAATTCAGAACCGTCTTCTCTTCTTCAATGCCTGCTAAAAGTCAGTCCTCTATAAGACGGCCCCACTTCTGTCCGTCATAGATTGAGCTGACTTTCAGTATTAAAATTTTTAACTAGGTTCAAGAAACAGGCCAGGTGCACACGGCGAAGAGGATTACGTTGATTTCTATGATAGTACCAATCTATTACCTTACATTGTTCAGTAAGTATTAAATTCCAGTTGAGACTTATTTTCGCAAATCTTGTTGACAGACGGTTTCTATGGTTTCGAGATCTGACATCAAAAATGGAATTATTGTGAAGTTCAGTCGAACTTGTTTTAAGCCGACACCCCTCGCGGAAGGTGTTACCAAGGGACTAGTTTCCATCTAAAGACAAACAATAATGACCTAACTTCTAGTAACGCGATTATTTCTACCCACTTAATTTGTCAAATGTGGGCACAATATCCAAGTTTAAATTAGGGAAAATAAAATTTCGTCGTCGCTCGTTTACGTCCACCAAAAACGAAAAAGTAAACAGTCTAGGCAATTTCACGTCTAAGTGGCGTGCATAGACGGCAAAGAAAAAAGTGCTTTTTTGACGTTCTCGTTGCCATCGCGACGTGGGTGCTCAGTGTCCCTAATATGCATGTCCTTTTAGTAACTGTGTTGCATTGTCGCCGACTCAGTCCTCCTAAAATGTTCTGCAATTGGTATAGGATCCAATGGAGCAGAGACCAGTTGTAGAATTATTGCACACATTTTGGACATATACTACCGATGAATGGTTACGAAAGTTAGCACCGCATCTGCAGAAGCGATAGCCGTGATAGGTCTCTTCCCTTATAGTAACCCAACTTCAACTACTTCGGTGTTTAAAAATCATCAAAATCAGATTTTTATTCAAAATTAAGTCCTTAAATATCTTCATAATGTTTTAAGATCACTTTTGGTTTTGCGGAGGTGGGGGCGCTGGGGTGGGCTGAGATCGTACATCTTGATCCGTAAAATTAGGGTGCAATCTTCTGATTTAGTTAAACTTGAACCTCACGTAAAATTTTTACAAACATAAAATATTATATCAGTTATGTCCACGTTTTAAATTCAAATTGCAATAAACGCGATTCTTCTTCAACAGCTGATGACCGTATTTGGACATTACTGACAGCGACAGATGTTCTAAATCCCACGGTTGAACACAATAATGAGAAAAAAAAAATAAATCTCCGTTACTAATATCTCTTTGACAGAAATAAGAGTTTGATAGCATTTTACCTGTCTATTATCTTAGTATACCACTAAAAATTCTAAAGTCTATAAGTAAGCAAACCGGTGGTTTCGCAATCCCGTGGCAAATACTGCAGCGAGAATATCCCATTTATGCAGTACGCTTCAACCACTGAATCTTGCTGAATCCTTAGTAATACTAACTAACAGAAAACTTGGTAATTACTTATTAAACTGAATGACGTAAGGTTTTTACGGAAGGATTGAATGGAAATCGCTCATGCATGCCCAAGTTTTGCATTTCCCGTCAGTAACAATCAGGAGCACCCAAGGACAATTTTTTGAAAATATCTGTTCGGAAGACGATTTGAGATCTAGAGTTTTCGGAACATTTGTTGTAAAATTTCTTGCTTGCCTGCCTCTCCTAGGATTTTCGAAAATTTAAAAAATGGTATAATTGCCCATTTTTAGCAGATAAAAAGGTCACGTAGAGTTTTCCGGGAGCCTTTTTTCTGGCTAAAATTTTCGAAAAGGTAAGTTTTGATCCCTATAATTTTCGCATCACTAGACTTTCAGCTAGGAAATCCGAACAGATGAGAACTTTTTAGGGGATAAAAATATGCCTATATCTACCGTTTAAATACTAAAATACGTTCAACAATGCTATGTTTAAGTCGTTTGAACTATATTCTCGTTGGGTGCCCCTGAACAATATATGCAGTGTCAATTAAGTTATAAATTAAAATAAAAATATAAATTAGTCATTAACAAAGCTCATTCGCTTAGACGTAATGATGGCTAATACATATTTAAAACACAGGTTGAAGCTTTTTACCGAAAGAAAGAAATCGTCTTCGCTTAAAAAACTTAGTACAAAAAAACAAAGCCAGGAGGAACTATAATTGCAGTTAGATAGACTACGCGTCAAGAATCATGACGAATTTAAGTTTGGACATTTACGCAGTGTCCTGTTCAACGTCTCTACATGAAAACTACGATCTTTATTCCCTTGCAGCTGTTAATATTCTTCTATCAGTCACAGCAGCGTTGGGAAACATTATCATTCTGTTTGCTCTCCGTAAGGAATCCTCCCTCCACCCGCCATCAAAGCTTCTGTATCTAAGTCTAACCATAACGGACCTTTTAGTTGGGCTGCTTTCCCATCCAACCTTCGTCGTTCACTTGTTTTTAATCGTGGATCCTCAGCGAGTACCATATTGCTGCACTTTTGCAAGGATCAGCATAAGTGATATGGCTGGAATGAGCATTAGTGGCGTGTCTTTGTGCACACTGACTGTAATCAGCGTAGACAGACTTCTTGCTCTGTTGCTGGGATTAGGATACAAACAAACAGTGACTTTGAGGCGAACTCGATCTATTGTAATTTTTATTTGGATCTTTAGCGTTTTAATTTCGTTTTTGTGGCGCTTCTGGTCACAAGCTGTTATCCAAGGGCTGATATCTGCGATAATTTGCATCAATTTGACAGCCTCAGCACTCTGCTACAGCAAGATTTATCTTTCTCTTCGTCATCATACTCAAGACCTTGTTCAGAGAAGACAAGTTAACGGCGAGGGAGGTTTTACGTCTGTTGCACGATACAAAAAGACAGTTTCAGCCGCTTTGTGGGTTCAGCTGACATTAGTGGCCTGTTATCTTCCCTTTAGTATAGTCAACGCTGTAGTAGATCCGTTTTCCGTACCAAACCTTCTTTATAAAAGAGTAACCATAACTCTTGTCTTCTTTAACTCATCTTTGAACCCAGTTCTTTACTGCTGGAAGATCAGAGAAGTGAGAAAGGCGGCGATAGAGACAGTCAGAAGGATGTACAGTATTATTTGGCCATGCAAAACAGCAAGTGTTAATATAGAACAACCTGGGGAAAAACAGAGTTCAAGTGGCCTGCGTTTATTTTCAAACCCTCGCTTACCAAATGCCTGGTTAACGGTCAACTATCGTCGTGCGGACACTTCGCTAATGCGGACAACGACTGTATCTCCGACAAACATTACAGACGCTTCAATGAAATGAACTCCCACTATCACAACCTTGCAGACTTACACAGAGCATGCCCATGTTATTTTTTAAAAAAAATTCTGGTTATATAACGAACAGCGAGCGGCATGCATCTTTATTTCTTCAGCCTTCATAGATAGTTTTGATTACGATTCTCTTCTTGGGCATCGATTGAAACCTTTTTTCTTTTCATCTTTACTAGCCTAGTGCTCTTAATTAGCACTGACGTGGTTCGTCCAATCTGCCCAAATAGTGAGAATAATGTTCTTTTTCTTTTCGTCAGTGGCGTAGGCTACTTGGAATAAATAGAGTTTCCTCATCAGGTTTCGAATCTATCGTTGAGCTACATGTGCATAGTGACCTGGTTTCTAATCTATTAGCTAAATGTTGAACCAATGGACACTCAATATGAAAATTGTATATAAGAACTACGGGGTGAAGAAATAATGTGAAGAAGATGGTCGAAGTTATTAATAGTGGCAACTTTTCAGTGCAGTTGTGAAAAAAAAGTCTCAAAAGAATTCAGACTTGTACGGGATTCGAACCCGTGCCTTTGCGATACCGTTGCAGCAGTCTACCAATTGACCTAACAAGCCTACTGGAAGCTGGTCGGGACTCTCGCTACTGTAGGGACTGACTCGCGGTCCCGCGGGACTCGGACGATATAAGGGAAGTTGACTGTGCGGGATCGAGAAACGAGAATTCACTGTACATCATGATTCATTTACCAACAAAGAAATGTTTGTTATCCTATAATAGGAAAACTATAAGACGTAAACTTATCATCCGTCTTATAAAATTTTATTAGGCTTTATAAATAGTGTAATAATTAGGAAGTTGGCCATTTTTTAGAGTGATTTTCCTTACAATGATTAACTTGTGTATAGTATGAAAGGACGGAGTAATACACTCAGCTCTGATTTTATAGCAATGAGTTTTACGTCAGTGCAATGGCCCGCAGGTAGCTAGAGCTAATCTTGACGGCCAGTCAATTTACCTGTAGGGAATAATTTATTCTCTTAAGTGTACATGTTTGTCTATATATAATATAATGCGGAAAGATTATACAAGAGAAAGGTAGAATTTACAGCAATAAAGGATTTACAGTAGATAAAATTTATCGGAAAAAGCTGGTATCAATTCATACCCTGCTCGTTACTGAGTAGACTACGAGTAGTCCCGATTTTTCCTCAGGGATAGTAGAGCGAGCGAAACGTGAGCGCGCGTGAAAATCACCCCACGCGAGAAAGGCGAGACGCGGCGGTGAGAGAAAAAATTTCTCTTTCCCCACCGTGTTTCGCCTTTCTCGCTTGAGGCGATTTTCACGCGCGCTCACGTTTAGCTCGGTCAACTATCCCTGAGGAAAAATAGGGACTAGTCGTAGTCTAGTTACTGAGGATATTACCTCAGAAATGATCTGGTGTATATCAATGAACGAATCTACTTCTTCGAAAATACTCGGTAGTACACTTTGAATAATTCCTTTTTTGAATGAAGGTTTTGGTAGTCCTCTCAGTAAACACGGTATCTCATTCCAGAGTTTTATGCCTATTCTTGGAAAAGCATTTCTTTGTATTTCAAGCCTTGATCGTTTTATGTAAAAATTGTATGAGTCAGCGAAGCGCGTGTTGTATGAATGGATGCCGGACGTATTCGTAAATAAATTACTGATCATTTAGGTGTTGCTAAGGCATTTCTAACGTCGTGCATCAATTCAGATAAAGTTTTACAATATAATTTTTTTCTTTTCTTTTATTCACTTGTAACTATTTGGAAATTTTGGCAGATATTTATTGTTTCAAATCACTGTATGTATTATTACCCACAATCTTCTTCTCTATTAAAATAAGAGAAGAACCTATTTTTGGATAAAAAAATTAGAACCTGAAAAACTTATACTTTATCAAAGTTCCAACGTACTTAGAACGCGGTAACTAGAGACTGATATTTCTACGTGAACAACCGAGTTCAGTGAGGGGTTGGCTATTTGGAGGACAAAGGCAGTACTTTCTTCCTTTAATACTTGCTTTCAAACTCGCGACCTTCCGATTCACAGCCCACGCAGCTGTACCAGCTGAAAGTGACTCAGTTGGAACAAAACTTCCCGCACTTTTCGACCGAAGTGCACTTTCCAAGAATACTTCACTTGCTGACACAGGGTGTAAACAGAAAAAATAATCCCTCAAACTGAAAGATTCGGAAACTCAGAAAGGGATATCAAACACAGTTTTAAACTCAGACGTTTAATATAAAAGGGTTTTTTATGTATTTATTCTGATTCAAAACGTTAAGACACAAAATTGCAAAACCTCGGATACGGACAGTTTTTAGAGAAGTTTGCAAGAAGATGGACAAGTTCGACCATATTAAAATGTCTTGCAAAGTTCACAAGTTCGTAAAAATTCTCGACCAGATACTTTGATGCCAAAAAGAGTTAAACCATTATAAACGTTTACATTTTTAGAATAAATTACACAGCCTCGAAATTATTCGGGAGCATATTAAGCACCTTTTGTGAAAGAAAAAAAACCGAGAAGAGTAAAACTTACAAACCACGATGAATTTGAACGTTCTTGTTAGAGTCCCGTTTCAAGTTGAGATAAAATTATTCCGTGTTATTATGACACAGTGTCTGACTTGACTGTTTGCCGGACTCCCCTGATCTTCCAGCAGAACAACATTGATTTCGCACCCAAAAACGCGTTTTGCTAGACGATTTCCCGCCAAAGCTCTATGACGCTTACAGCGCACTGGAGCTCCGCTAAATTTACTACACGCTACTTTCTCCGGCAGGTTTAGCTGGGTAAACCACGTAACACAGACGTCGGAGTGTATCCTTGACCGCTTGCCTGACTCCTCTGATCTTCCAGCAATAGAGAACAGGGTTTAAAGATGAATTTAAGTGGAGAAGGGTTATTGTAAGCCTGACGGAAAGATTATGGGATGGGGCATATGGATGACTTAACGTACTAACAACACCGTAAGGAAGATAACAGGCTATAAGTGTTAGCTGCACCCACAAAGCGGTGGACACTGTTTTTTTGTACCGTGCGATGTGGAGTGGAGGTCCTTCTCCATTCGCTTGGTCTTGCATCTCAGTTTGATGACGGCGAAGTGTTAGATAAATCGTCGTGTATGAAATTGCTGAGATCACTAGTAATGAGTAAATCATCCCAGAGACGAATTGTGAGATTTGCATGTAGTGGCGTTCCCAAAAACGCCTCAAGGTGCAGATGAAAATGCTTATAATCCAGCAGACGATGACGACTCCACGAATTCGCTTCAGAGTGACTATTTTCCTGTGTCTCAGCCCTAGTAACAGAGCGAGAAGTCTGTCCACACTGATTGTGGTCATCGTAAACAGAGACACACCGATCAGGCTTGAACCAGCAATTTCATTTACACTGACAAGGATGAAACAAAGTGACACTCGCTGATGTGCAATGGAAATCAACTGAATGGCAAACAAAGGCTGCGACAGGATACCAACCAAAAGATCCGTTGTTGCTAAGCATCGAAACAACAGTTTTGATGGAGCATGAAGAGAATTTTCCTTGCGAAGAGCAACAAGGATAAGAATGTTCCCCATTGACGTGGTAACTGATAGAAGAATATTCAAAGCAGCTGTTGAATATAGAAATGGGTTTCCGTAAAGGGATGCTGTACATGCAACTTGTTGTATTGCTTCGTAGTTTTTCTCTTCCATTTTCGAAAATCTATCTGCAGTTTGTGTTGCTCATTAAACAGCTTGAACGGCGTCAAGACAGTTAGCCCAAGTATGTTCAAAATCGAAAAACAGTTATAGTGTTGAAATAGTTGTAAAGCACTATTCCATGTCTAATAATGATGACGCACTCAAGCTGACATAATAAACATTTGTCGCTGGATTGGAGAACATTACCTCATTAATTTGTAGCTCCTGGTAAAAATGGGACTTAATCGGCACAAAATAAGATGAAAACAATATTACAGGATTATTATAAAGGAAACCAACGAGAATGCTTAAAATCTCGAACCTCTAAGGGCTTGAATACCTAAAACTGAGATACCGCAAAATCTCTTTTGATTCTCTCTTGAGTCGCTCTCGCTCTTTGATCGCTGAGAGAGTTTCACCTGAATATACTATATATCAAACGTTTCCAATATGTAAACAAACTTCTCGACGTAAGATGTATGGTTCTGAACTTATGATACAACTCATTACAATTAAATAACTCTTCATTCATGCAAAACCGATATGGCTGATATAATTCATATTTTCTTTGGGTTCCGGCCGTATGATACAGTTTCGTGACATAGGCCCAATCTTTTCCTATATCATCATTCCGTTAATTATTTTCGTTTGTATGGATAAACAACTGATCGTTTGAGAAATTTAACGGGTGGTTAAGGCCAATATAAAGTGCATGGAATTCTTTATCAAAAAAAGGTAAAGCAACCATATTTTCCGTCGATAACTCCGGATTATAATAACTGATAAACTTGAAGCCGACGGTGCGCTTATTTCACCCCCCTCTCTCCATCAATGCTCTGTTTTAAGGGTATTTAAAGCTAGTCAAAGCTACTCAGAAAGGAGAGAAGTTGAAACAAGGATGTGAAGTCACTGGGGATCGAACTCGGGACACCTCGCACCGAAGGCCGCGCACTAACTAACGGTGCTACCTTTGCTCCTGAAACAACACAACAATAAACTTGAAACACCACTTGCGTTTAGGGCAGTTGAAGTTTTCTTCCATTTTTTGTCTCATTTATTCGAACTTTTGGCCAATAATTTTCCATGCACAAANTAGTTGTAAAGCACTATTCCATGTCTAATAATGATGACGCACTCAAGCTGACATAATAAACATTTGTCGCTGGATTGGAGAACATTACCTCATTAATTTGTAGCTCCTGGTAAAAATGGGACTTAATCGGCCCAAAATAAGATGAAAACAATATTACAGGATTATTATAAAGGAAACCAACGAGAATGCTTAAAATCTCGAACCTCTAAGGGCTTGAATACCTAAAACTGAGATACCGCAAAATCTCTTTTGATTCTCTCTTGAGTCGCTCTCGCTCTTTGATCGCTGAGAGAGTTTCACCTGAATATACTATATATCAAACGTTTCCAATATGTAAACAAACTTCTCGACGTAAGATGTATGGTTCTGAACTTATGATACAACTCATTACAATTAAATAACTCTTCATTCATGCAAAACCGATATGGCTGATATAATTCATATTTTCTTTGGGTTCCGGCCGTATGATACAGTTTCGTGACATAGGCCCAATCTTTTCCTATATCATCATTCCGTTAATTATTTTCGTTTGTATGGATAAACAACTGATCGTTTGAGAAATTTAACGGGTGGTTAAGGCCAATATAAAGTGCATGGAATTCTTTATCAAAAAAAGGTAAAGCAACCATATTTTCCGTCGATAACTCCGGATTATAATAACTGATAAACTTGAAGCCGACGGTGCGCTTATTTCACCCCCCTCTCTCCATCAATGCTCTGTTTTAAGGGTATTTAAAGCTAGTCAAAGCTACTCAGAAAGGAGAGAAGTTGAAACAAGGATGTGAAGTCACTGGGGATCGAACTCGGGACACCTCGCACCGAAGGCCGCGCACTAACTAACGGTGCTACCTTTGCTCCTGAAACAACACAACAATAAACTTGAAACACCACTTGCGTTTAGGGCAGTTGAAGTTTTCTTCCATTTTTTGTCTCATTTATTCGAACTTTTGGCCAATAATTTTCCATGCACAAAGTAAACTCTTTATTTGTTGACGTCAAACTCGAACCGGCTGAATCAAGTCTTGATTACGTCGCTTTGGACACGGTTACAAGCCGATGACACACGGGGTTCAATATTTTTGATCAACAAACATAGCAGCTCTTGATTATCAAATCAGGTACACAATATGTCATACAATGATGGGGATTGAAAGTGGTCATGCATCCTTTTCAACGAGACCGTCGGGCCTTTATTCAAACAACAACTTGGAACTCTTAAAGGACTATCTCTTTAGAAAACATGGTTGTTTACCATTTAGAAAAAGTTTCCGGAAAACCTGGTTGGATAGTAAACGGAACACGACTTCTTGGGTCGTTCCAGGGGAAAATTGTGAGGAGCAACCGAAAATCTGAAAAGGTAGTCCTGTTTTTCCGGACGGAATGCACCAAACAATCCGTGCTCCATTTCTTCGGCAAAGCCATCTTTGATAACAGTTTCAGGCTTTCGTGGCCGTTTTTCGGTAAATGGAACTGTACTAACGGTAGACACGATTCCGGGACGCGAGTTTCGAATTAAAAAATACCGCTGAATATAAACATTAATGACACATTCATACAGGGTTAGCCTCGACGTAAAGTAAAATATTCAGAAATTCTGGCAAATAAGTGTTTGAAATTTGAATATACACAATAGACAGAGTAATAAACAGGTCTTTTTCTCGTTGGAATTTGTGAATATATTACTTCAGATTGAGGCTAAGACTGTAAAAAATGCGTCTTCACTTCTTTAATTCAGCGGTCATAGCGAACTCGAAAATGGACTATTTTGCTT